CCTCCAGGGCCCTCCTGACTCCTCCGAGATGGACGCGGCCCTCCAGGGCCCTCCTGCGGGACCTTCCCCGCGGCTGGACGCCGAGGCGATGGGGAGGCGAGCGGTGCTTCTGCACGCGTGCACCGGGGGACGGCCCCGGGGCCCCGGGGGCGCGGCCCCGAGCGCGAATGTGTGTGTGGTTGTGTGTGTGTGTGTGTTTGTGCGTGCCGGGGGGTGGGCCCGTCCTCGCGGGCCCCGAGTCGCTCCCGACAGCCACCAGGCAGCCGCCACGGCGGCCCAAAGGCGGTCCCGAGTCACCCCCACGACGCCTTCCAGGGGTCCTCGACGGCCCAAGATGCGTCTCAGACGGTCCAAGAGGTGTCCACGACGCTTCCAGACCGCGCCAGGAGGACCCGGCGGTACGAACTTGAGGCACATCCCCTGGAACCAACGCGAGCGCCGAGCCGTGAAGCCGAGAACTCAAGCGGATAAGGAACAGGTTCAGCATCCGGGTGCACTGAAAGCCCCGGCAGACACTCAGACGTGTCCCTCCTGAGCTCCAGCCTCTGATCGAGGCCTCATCCTGGGCGCTCACTGCAGCCGCGTCCTCCAACCTCTCCAGCCTTCCTCCTTACCCTGGGCGCTGGCGCGCCGGGGTCTGCCTGGAAGCCCTGGCTGGGCGATCTCATTCCCCTCATCCTCCTCCGCCGCGGGCTGCACATCCATCCTCCCGCCGCCTCCGCCTCCTCCTTGGCCTCCTGCGGCCCCCCTGCTCTCCTGTGGAGTTGTTGCGGACCGACTCTCTTCCTCCCTGCTGTCTCCGCCTCCTCCCTGGCCATCAGCTTTCTCCCTGCCCTCCTGTGGTGTAGTCGCGGACTGCCTCTCCTCCTCCATGTTGCCCACGCCTCCGCCCCCTCCTTGCGTGGTCTCCTGCCTCCTGCCTGCCTTCCTGTGGCGCTGTCGCGGGCGTCTGCTTCTCCTCCAGCCTGCCTCCGCCTCCTCCTTGGCCTTCTGCCTGCCCTGGGTCGCCCCACCTATTGCGGATGATACCCTGCCGGACCAGCAGATGCCAGGCCAAGACACTGCCCGAGTGGCCCAGGTCGTCCACGATGGGCCACCCCAGCCGCGCCTGCATCGGGTCTGTGGGCCGCGCCAGGCCGCCTGTGATGGGCGGTCCCGGACGCCCCTGGGCAGTCCCACACCAGATGGATGAAGTGTCCGCCCCCCTTCTGCCCACAGGCGGGGCACTCAATCTCCTCCTTGTGAGCCTCCTGCCACGCCGCGCAGCTCACGGTGGCGCCCGTGAGCACGGGCCGGACGGCTGGCTCCCTCTGCAGCTGCTTCTGCGCCTCCTGCAGCCTCGAGCTGTCGAGCTGGACAGCGTCTCGGCAGAGCTCGGCGTCGTTAGGCGCGCAGAGCGCCGCCAAAGCCCGGCCCGTCGCGCGCGCTACCCTTCCCGGAGGTCGTGCCTCCGCTTCTCCACCTCCACGGCATCCTCGGGCCGCAAGCTCCCCACCCCGCCTGTCCTGGGGTGGGCCCACCTCCGTCCTCGCTCCAGCGGGGCCTCGGGGATGGCCGCCTCCTCCTCTTCGCTCGCTTCCTCCTCCTCAGGCGCCGCCGCTTCCTCCGTCTCAAGCCAACCCTCCCTGCGGAGGAGCGCCCGGGTCGTTCTGGGCCAGCCTGGGGCTTCCCAGCATCCCCCGACGGCCCCGGTTTTCCGAACCCCGCTGCCGCGCTGCCGCGACTGGCGCTTCCATCATCCGATACGACGCCGACGTGGAGTGGCCGACGAGCAACTCAAAAAGGTGAGGGGAGCTCCGTCTGGCCGCCCCCAAGGCGCGGCGCGTGGCAGCCCCGAGTTTGTCCACGCCCTTCTGGTCGGGCGGCCGGGCCACCCAGCCCCACAGGGCAAAACCGCCATGGTGCCCGCTGCAAAACGACGCTCGTCCAGCTCCGTCCTGAGGACGAGCTCCAGCCTCCTCCTCCTTGCCACGGCCGTCGTCAGCCGCGCCTCCTCCTTGGGTGCCTTCCGACGCCGCCGAGCCGGCTGGAGGTGGCATCCCAGCATCAGCGGCTGCGCCAGCACCGTGGATTCTGCGACCTCCGCCTGGGCCTTTAGCTGGCGCCGCCCCGCCTCCGTGCGGTGGCCAAGCTGCTCCTTGCTCCTGTTCTCCTTGAGGCCCAGCGCTGCCGACCACCTTCGCCAGGAGCTCGCCACCTCGGCCATCTCCGCCGTGGCGCTCTTCCAGGAGCGATCGTCCATATACGCCGCCTGCTGCGTGCCTAGAAATTCCTCCTGCAGCTTCGTGAGCGGCGCCACGAGGAGCGCCGTCATGCCCACCACGGACCAGCCATCGCCCTGCGGCATGCTAGCATCGACCGCGCACGGGTCCGCCAGAACGCGGCCCTGGAGCTCCAGCCATCGCTGCTGCTAGCCCCACACTCTTCCGACCAGGTCGGCCGTGCTGCGCGGCAGCCCGACTAGTTTGAAGATGCCCACCACCGCCGCTGGGTCCGCCATGTCGAAGGCGAGGGAGTAGTCGCAGGACGCCACAAACTCCCCTTCGCGAACGCCTCCTCCAGGGGGCCGACTGCGTTGATGACCTCCCTGCCCGCCCTGCCGCCGACCTCCTCAGGCCACGAGGAGTCCAGCCAGGCCTGCGCGCTGCAGTCTCGCAGCCGAGGCGCCACCACACCGAGAGGATGGCAATCGGCCGCAGCGCCGCGCAGTCTGCTGCACCATCCTCGTGCCTGGCCCCCTTGCCCTTGGGCAGCACGACCGGGCGGGCGTGGGTCCATGCCTGGGGCGGCACGCCCCCCGCCTCGCTGGCGGCGCAAACCTCGGACAGGTGCTGCCATACCGTTTCCGGCAGATCCTGTAGCTCATCGCCGCGCCAACCGTCCGGCCCCGCCGCCGTGCCCTTTCTGTCTCCGCGCCGCCTGCGCGAAGTCCTCGCCCCCTGGGAGATCCAGGGTCACCTCGCCCCTCGCGGGGACAGCGCTGGCCACCTCCCGCAGCAAGTGTGCGCAGTGGGTCGAGGCCACCGGCCGCGCGGCCCGCTGGATCGACGGGGCGTGCCTCGAGGTGGCGGCCAACTACCTCGTCGTCGGAAAGTCACCGTCTCCAGGCACGACCCCAAGCTGGGCTGGTGCACAGCGGCGGTGGTCGAGCCGTGCAGTCGCAGGCAGCAGGAAGAGGCGGCGAAGCACTCGCCCCTGCCGATCCTCCTGAAGGACGAGCACCACACGACCCTAGACTACGACAGCCAGCGCCCCTGGCCCAAACACTGGGCAGACCCGCCGCCGTCCACGATCGAGTGGAAGATGCTCCGTGGGGCGGGACGCGGGCGGGAGGAGGTTGAGGAGGAGGGAGAGGAGGTTGAGGAGGAGGAGGCAGCAGACTGCATGCCAGCGCTCCCCACATCGCCCTCGACTTCGGGTGAACAGGAGGATTGGCTGCCGCCCGCGCCGCGGTCGACCGCCGGGACGCAAGAAGAGGAAGAGGAGGTAGAGGAGGAAGAGGAGGAGGATGGCTGCCGCCGCCGCCACCATCCACCACCACGAGAATAGGCTCCAGTGCTCCATGAGGGTGGCTGCGCCGAGGGGCCGCGTGGCCGGCAGCAGTGCCGGGGGTGGGGGCGCCGCTCCCGCGCGCAGGAGGCTCACGAGGAAAACGGGCTTCAGCGTGGACAGCGGTCCGCTGGGATCCCCCACCTCCGCCGAGGCCCAGGAGTGGCCGGAGCGGCAGAGGAGCGAGAGGAGGCAGGAAGTGGGCACCATTGACGCGGCGGAGGTGTGGCCCTGCCCCTGCGGCGGACTCTGGGTCACGGCAAGCAGCAAGCAGCAGCTGTGGGATCGGAAGAACGCGCACTTGAGGAAGCACACTGCGGGGGAGAGGGCCCGCTGCAAGTCGGCGCGCACACCGTGGTTCGGGGTGGAGCCCGTGGCCGGCATTCCGAAGGAAGTCAGAGGAGGGCAGTGCCCCGTGTGTGACAAGGCGCTACCGTCCTACGTCCAGGGACGGTACTTGACAACGGTGCGCCAGAGGCACTGGAGGGCTGATCATGCCGACACGTCTCTGAAACAGTAGAAGGCTGCTCTGATGTGCACGCACGATCCAGGCCGCCACGGCCGGGAATCCGCAGAGGCCCAGGCGGCCGCCAACAAGAGGAGGATAGAACATGAGGTGCGGCGGAGTGGCCATGGCCCTGTCACGGTGGAAGGGTGGTCAGCATCTCGCGGGACGGGCCTGAGGTCTTCAGACAAGAGGGTCACGGTATGGTGCGCGAAGTGTTGGCGCCGCATGGAGAGCTCCATGGCGCGGGCAACCCCGTGCAGAGGGAAGCCTCCGGAGAGGTACATGGGGCCAGCCTCGTTTTGGAACAAAGTTCAGGCAACTGGGGACGCCGCGGCATTGGCCGGGCATTCGACACCACGGCGGAGCAGCCTCGGCAGTACTTTGCGCCAAAACCCCCTGGTGGGGGGAAGCGCCGGGCGCCTCAGCCGGCCCTCGGCCCAGGCAGTAAGCGGAGGAAAGGTGCCTGGCTGGTGTCCTGGCGGGAAGCGGCGCGCGCCGCGCTGGGCAGAGCTGACAAATGGGTCAAGAAACGGCCCGCGGCCTGCCTGCCAGGGGCCGGGGGGCAGCCTGCCCTCGCAGGGGCCTGAAGGGGCGGGGGGGCTGCCGCTGCCATGGCAGGTTCCCCCCCCCCCCCGGGCGGTCCGCGCCCGCCTGCCGACCAGGTCGCGGGCGGCGTGGGTGCGGAATTTGCACGGGGACGGATACGTGGAACCGCACCCAGGCCCTGGGCGCAGCAGGAGGCCCAGAGGCGGAAGAGGAGGCGCAAGAGGAAGTGAGGAGGACGAGGAGGCACCGGCGCAGCCGCAGTCGAAACGGCGGAGGGCCTGCGGCGAGAAGCCTTCCAGAATGTTCAAAAACATGGGCAAAATGATGGTGGGGGAGTTCCAGGAGGGGAAGAAACACACAGACACAATTATTCGTCGATTCCCAGAAAAATATGCGAAAATATGGGAAGTGGGGGAGAAGACATGCACCCAGAACATATGGGAACAATGGGGAAACCTTTCATATGTGTGTATTTATTTGTGTGTCCTAGGGCCCCTTCAGCGCTCTGGACCCACAGCGTGGGGGCTCGTCCATGGCCTGCGACTGCGCCCAGCTGGCCGCGGAGCACCGCCTCTCCAGGAGCACCGCCTCCTCGGGAAGGACGTGGGGGCGTTCATCACGTGTTGCGAAAAGCTGGGATACAGGGCCTTCGCGGTGGATGCAATCCCAAGAGCCGGTGGAGGAAGAGGAGGAGGGAAGGGCGGCCTCGCGCTCCTCGTGAGCAAGGAGCTCAATTCAGCGACGGTGCGCGAAAGGATTTTCGGGACGTCACATGTCCAGCTGGTCGAGGTGGCCGGGAAGCTCGTTGGCAATGTATACGCGGCGCCGACAGAGGACAATGGGCTGCTCGGGGACGACGTCGCCCAGACCGTAAGCAGCGTGGGTGACGGAACAGAGTGGGCCATTGCAGGTGATTGGAACGAGACGCCACAGGATAACCCAGTGGCGCTTTTTGTCTCGGAGGCCGGTGGGCGGGTCGCCGCCGTGCTCGACGGCGAAGGCGGTCATGCTCCTACGCGGTGGCAAGGTATGGACTGCTGGTTCACCAACGGGGACTGGATCCAAGGAAGGGGCTTCGAAGAGACGACGTCCTCTGACCACAAGGTCGTGCGCGCCGTGGTGGAGGTCAGCGGGCACCCGTGCTGCAGAGCTAGGGGGCCACATGCGAACCCTACCCCTACCCCCAACGATTCTGAAGGAAAGGGTGGGGTTGATTTCGTTCGGGAGCTCCCAAGCGAAGTGACCCCCCCCTCCGAAATCGTGGGGGGCAGGGAGTAGGGTTGGCATGTGGCCCCCTGAGAGCGCCCCAGGAGAGGTCCAGGAAGAGGCACTGGCCGGTTGACGTCGCGAGGCCGGCAGGCATCCCGAAGGAGCGCCGGGCGGAGCTGGTGGCGAGACACTGCGGGGCCCGCGCGCCGAGGGCCCCAGCCCGGCCCCGGGGGCCCGGCGGCCTCGCCGCGAGGAGGCGGACAGCTGACCTGCTGTGGTCTTCTTGGGGGGCCACACGCGGACCCTATCCCTACCCCCCACGAGTTCTGAGGGGGAGGGTGGGGTTCACTTCGCTCGGGAGCTCCCAGACGCAGTGAATACCTCACCCTCCCCCTCAGAAGTCGTGGGGGGTAGGGGCAGGGTTCGCGTGTGGCCCCCTACTTCTCCCGTGGCTGCTCTGGAGGCCGCCCTGAGGGGAGCCAAGAGGGAGATCGCCGCCGGCGTCGGCCAGAGCCCGGAGGAGCTGGACGAGGGCTGGAGGCGCACCAAAGGACGCCAACGCCTGGGCGTCCTGAGGATGGAGGCCAAGGGCCCCTTTGCAGGAGGCTGCAAGGTCCTGAGGCAAACCGCGCGCTGCACGCGGCTGCGGCGCCTCGCCTGGCTGCGCAGTCGGGAGCGCGGGGGCTTCAAGCAGGCGGAGGATGAGGAGGATGAGGATGAGGATGAGGATGAGGATGAGGATGAGGATGAGGATGAGGATGAGGATGATGATGAGGATGATGGATGATGATGTTGATGATGATGTGATGATTGATGATGATGATGATGATGAGAGGAGGAGGAGAAGGAGGAGGAGGAGGAGGAGAGAGGAGGAGGAGGAGGAGGAGGAGGAGGAGGAGGAGGAGGAGGAGGAGGAGGAGGAGGAGGAGGAGGAGGAGGAGGAGGAGGAGGAGGAGGAGGAGGAGGAGGAGGAGGAGAGGAGGAGGAGGAGGAGGAGGAGGAGGAGGGGAGGGAGGAGGAGGAGGAGGAGGAGGAGGAGGAGGAGGAGGAGGAGGAGGAGGAGGAGGAGGAGGGAGGGGAGGAGGAGGATGGAGGGGAGGAGGAGGAGGAGGAGGAGGATAGGAGGGGGAGGAGGGGGAGGGGGAGGAGGAGGAGGGAGGAGGAGGAGGAGGAGGAGGAGGAGGAGGAGGAGGAGGAGGAGGAGGAGGAGGCGACAGCTCTCAGGAGGACCCTGGAGGAGGAGCTTCAGGAGGAGGACGGGCCGCGAGGCGCCACCGAGGCAGCGGCTGGGCGTATCTTGGAGGCCCTAAAGGAGGAGGAATTCCAGAGCCGACTCGCGGTCTGGAGGCGCAAAGTGAGGGAGGACGACCGAGCGGTCTGGAAGTGGATCCACGGTGCCTGGCTCCGCCCCACCACCAGCGTTTTCTCGGACAGGGTTCCTGGCGGGAGAGCGGCTACGAGGTCCCCCCAGGAGAGCCTGGAGCGGCTGGCAGCTCATTGGCGAACAGTGTGGGACCGGCAGAGGCCGTTTGTGGGCTCCAGGAGGACCCCCCAGAGGACCTAGAAGCAAAAATCGCCCCAGTCCTTTCGGACAACCTGCATTTGTGACACATTCGCTTTTCTGGTCTATACACGGTCCAATACGGCCTCAAAGGTTTCCAAAATCGCTCCGAGACTGCCCGGAGCCC